TCCATCTATGTAAAAAAAGATTAGTGTTAAAACAAAGAAGTGCCCACTGCACAGCACAACGCAGAGATCACCCCAGCTAATCACAAAACAGGTAATATTAAAAAGCACTAGGTCTTGTATTGTCTTGCCAATTACTTCCTCGCTAGGCTAGACAGTCCTCATCTAGAAGTGTGTGGAGTCAATATTAACTCGGCCCAAGTCTGGCCCAGACCATGCCAGTCTTCCTGTCCCATAACGGATGCTTTCTAGAAATCTGTTAAAAACCCACTTACAGAAGTAGGCACAGATGTTTTATGGTTGCTACTGAAACACCCTACCCACCAATTCCTGTGTTACAGAACTAATAGCGTACTGAGGTAAAGAGTTGGCAGTGCTGTATTAAAACCCCTGACTACATCATGTGATTTCATACTAGAAAAATGATATAGAAAAGAGGCTACTACTAAATTTACAGGAATCAATATAGTTCTCATCATGAGAGATCAGTGTTTGGCTTATGTGACAAGCTGCAGCGTATGGAGGTGTTATTGCATATCGTGTTTGTCTCAAGCTGGCATGCATCAAATTGTCTATCAACTCAGCAAGTACTCCTGAAAATTTGATGTCACAGCAAAGCTAAGTCAGGTGTCAAAACTCAGTATTGAAAATCAGAGGGGCCTTTTACAGAAATCCTGTAGTTCCATGCAGCAGCATGTTGTCTTTTCCAGGAGAACTGAAGAGGTACATACATAGGAAAGACTCCAAAACATGAAGTTAATATCCACAAAGGCAGCCATCTAAAGGCAGCAAAGGGCTTGTTTTCTAAAATGATATTCTGTGGAAGGTAGTTGTCTGTCACTAAAGAAGGCTGCTAGTTTCTTCAGTGGTTCCATGTCTATTCTTTTAATTTATTTAATTCTACAATTCTTTGCAGATTACAGTAACCAGGACTGGTGAATACCTGGGGCGGATGGGGACATGGGGATAGGGGAACGACACATGGATAGGATGGGACACACTTCTCAAACGCACCATTTTTCATACCAAAAGCTACTTTGGCTATCCTAGTGGAATTACATTGTTGTCTCCAGTGCCACATACAGATGAGCTCTTCCTACTCCATTTCACTACAGTTTTTTTGCTGTTAGTTTCTCCACTCTGTCTGCTTGGCTGAGGTTCAGGCTTTAGTTGGCTCAGAAAACCTGTAAATGGTCATCTTTGGGAGCTTCTTCATGCTTGTAACATGCCTAGTTCTAGGTTTTACACAGCAGTATTTTAAAAAACTCAATAGATTATCAAGTTAATAAGTCAAATAATCTATGCTGCCATATTAAATAAAAGAAGATCGATTCTTTTTATCAAACTGGAAGCATCTTTGAGTTATGGTGTAAAGTTGAGTGGCCAGTAATTTCCATTCCATAATCGATATTAATTCATTGTCAACATTAAGAACTACTTAATTCTGTCAAAGTGACAACTGCCTATTAAATATGCCACTTACAGAAAACTATTCTTCCTTTTTAATTCCAATTCACCATAATCACCATGTCACCTCATAATGCCAGAGAATGACAGCACTGCAATCTGAAGGAATGGTACTGACTGACACGCTGTATTAGCTTAAAGCCTGTTATGAGGACAATAAATACAAAGTAGCATTTGATAAGTGACTCCCATTTAGTTAGTTTTTCTACTTAAACTGCAAGATTACATAAGTCTCTCCTGCAAGCACATGCTGCAAGCACTTCCTCTCTTTGTCCTTGCGAGAGACAACCCCTTTGCAACACCCCATCACTGGTCATTGACCTGCGGGTGTCAAGAGGAGGGATAGCAAAAGGCTGCTTTTTTTAAAAAAAAAAAAGTTTTTCAAGGTCTCCATCTGATTATCATCCTGCCTGTGACCCATTTCCTGAGTAGCCAAATGAACAATAAGCCTATAAAGTTAACAAAAAAAGATGTTCTCTCCAGCTGTGTTTACCTGCAAAGTTCTCCAGGATGTCACTTAAAATAAAGTTTTCTATTTGTTTCTTGTGAAAGGACTAAGCAACCCACCAAGCCTGTCCCGAGACGTTTGTACGACTTAAGTTCTGCTTTAGTAATTAACTGATTTACCATAACATGATTTTCTGGCTTTATTATACTACAACTTACCTTGAAAAAAACCAAACACAAAACCCCTCAGTTGTGGCAAGAAGTAGAGTGTATTTTGCAGAGAAAGCTGCCACTTAAAAAAAAAGTTCTTTTTACTCATGGGCCAGATCCTTTGCAAACTTGAGAAACGCTCGACTTCTGCAAGAAGAGTTTCCTGATCTTGGGTTCCTGGTGTGAACCATCACTATTAAAGTTTGACAGAACACAGAGCCTACAGAGCCAAACTACTGATTTTCATCCGCAGTCTAAAGCATCAAGCTTAGGCCCATTTTATCAATAAAAAGGCAGGCAATAATGGGCCTGAGGTGATCAAACTGGTTCCCAAAAACTCTGATTTAGTGTGCAAAACTGCCATATGATACAAAAAAAAAAATTGCTTGAGAGCTCAATATGAGATATCTCATGCTGTTTCTTTTCCAGGTGCAGATTAAGTTACTTAAAATATAAGTTGCATTATTAGCTCTGTTCAGAGTTTCAAATCATCCGGTGACTAAGGATACAAAACCATGGATGAGCATGAAGAGAAAAACAGAACAGGAAATTCCATGCTATGCCTCCCAGGTAAAACTACAGTAGATTCAGACATAAAACTGAGGTAATTCTTGAGAAAAAATACAGTTGAAAGGGAATGTTTAACTGCTTTGAGAAAACAAGCATAGTATTAACCCATCTAGAAAATTTAGTGAAAGAATAAAGCTCACAGCAAACTAGGAAATGAAGTCAAGTCAACTTAGAAGTCAGGTCAGCCCATAACTGCCTCCTCTTTCCCAGTGTCTTGTGTGAAGTGGAAACCACTACCAAGAACTCCAAGAATTTTTGAAAACTTTGAAAACAGTCTTAGCCTTCAGCCAAACAAGTCGGCCAGCTTAGAGAAACGAACCCCATACGATGAATAAACTTGTTTGCATCACTCTGTGTTGAAACATTTACCTTTTCAAATGTAATAATCTTAAGAGTTTCCCCCCCATCTGAATATTAGAGTCACATAACATCTTTCCCCTTCAAGGTTAAAAATGAATAAATATTTAAAAGACAGAGTTGGTCCTGGCAAAAATAAGACTTGTTACAAGGAAGCTAATTCCTGTTTAAGTTTGCTCAAATTTAAGTTAGATTTTCCCATCTGCAACTTTTCACTTGCTTCTTACCTCGATACTGTGTGTGTCACATAGCACTGATATAGCCACATCTTTTCCACTCTGAAGCCTGCACAAAGAAAGCCAAAAGACTGCCACATTAGGAAACTACACAAAAATACTGATATGAACATCTGCAAGCTTCAGAGGGGAAGAAAGATTCCAGATTTTATCCAAATTAACATGAAAGGACAATGGAACAGGACTTTTTTTGGCCACATTTCCCATGGGATTACCAGCTGAAGTAAAGCGTTGCTTGTTTTGAGATGCCATTACAGGCTCAAAGGGGATAAAAACTCCAGGGAATCTGCTGACTTTTTACGGGTACAAACAGCCCTTCAGGTTTTATTCTTGGATAAAACCTATGACAAAAATTGCACAGTAAACTATGTTTGAAAACTACCTAAAGGATAGCACTACAATGTTGATGTAAGAGGCAGATCTTCAGTTTGTCCCCCACTGTAGTGGAAAAGATCCGATACGTCTGTACACAAAAAAGGCACCTGATAGTTAGTTACACAGATTGAGAGAGCTAGGAAATTAACAGTTCATATCAACATTATTCATAGCCTCTTGCAATTTTACACATAAACCATTGCCCAAAATGGGCAACTCCAAACTCGACTGTACTCAGAATTACATGTGCATTACTGTAGGCTAAAGATCCCATTAAGACACAGATTAAAGGCTAATTTTACAGCAAGGTCTTGCTGTCCAAATACATCAGTGCAGCTGTAAACTGGGATCTCTAGGGTCTCTTCAGTCTTATATAAGGTCAGCTGTTGGGAACTAATCAAGCAGCTGCTGTACTACCAAAACCTTCGCTTAAGAGTTTAATCAGCTTTCAAACTTTTGAATATAGATAAAGCCCTGTCACATGAGATACTGAACCTTCACAACTACTGCCAACTGCGGGTGTGAGAACAGTGCTGAATTTCCATGAAGTACATCTCACCCGAGAACCCACTGTGCAGATACATGGTCAGGTGCTCTAGCACAGGCCGCTTCACCAAGGAAATCAGTTTCCCCATGATGTAATATCCTTTAGACATAGTGCAAAATAAACCCTTCTCCGTATCAGTGAGGCCTTAGCTTCCCATCCAATTTACTCCAACATGGGTTTCCTTATACAGTTTTAGACTTTTGCCTCAGGAGACTCATGCAAAACACCTTCAGACAAGAGCTGTGCATCCACCTTGGTAAGTGGATTCCAGACCCTTGGCAAAGCTGAACATGCACACAAGATCTGGTTACATTCCTAAGGGTTAAGAACAGAACTTCCATTAACATTCTCCAATACAGCTACCAATCTCATTACATTTAGATTAGTTCAATCGATTCAGCACCTCCAAACAACAAAAAGAAGGCAGTTTGTACAACTAGCATCTCTGAAAAATGAGCATATTCATTTAAAACATGTCTTCCATACATGGTTTGTCAGAGATCTCTCTTTTCTAAGAAGGCAGAAGGTGGTTGTGTTATTCAGCGTTCCAAACTAGGTACAGAACCTACAACGGCCATGTTTCAGTAGTGTTTCTAGTCCAAATGATTCAGTAGCTAACATCAACATTTGACTCCTTCGGCCTATAGCTCCTCTGTTTGAACTGGCTAGTTTACAGCATTCCTGAGCCAAGTAATTAGCATGGGTCCTACACCACATGCAAGGGCCATAAAGAAAGGATAAAAACTTTGATCTAACCCTCCGGCAAATTTTAACAGAACATTGGCTGCTCTCCTTCACTGCAACATGATATCCTTCAGATTCTCTTGAAGGATCGTGTCCTTCACGGCATGAAACACAAAGCGGATGTTTTCAGTGTCTATGGCAGTGGTGAAGTGATGGAAGAGGGGCTTTCTACGGTTTCTCCTCTTTCTGTCAAAGCACTGCACCAGATAACGTTGAACATCTTCTAGCCTGTGAGGGTCACCTTTGAAGTCCGAGAAATACTTCTTAATGCTGACAGTCTTTACCTTCTCTACAAGAAGATCCATCTTGTTGAGGAATAGGATAATGGAAACATTAAAGAAAAGCTTGTTATTGACTATTGTCTCAAAGATATTCATGGACTCCACAAGTCTATTTGTGCGTCTGTCTTCCATGAGAACCTGATCGTATTCACTGGAGGAGACCATAAACAAAATTGAAGTTATTCCATCAAAGCACTGGAACCACTTTTGACGCTGAGATCTCTGTCCACCTACATCCACCATCTTGAAAGGTATTTTTTTAATGATGAAATCATGCTCTACTATCCCCTTGGTGGCTTTTCTAGCCAGCAAAATATCTTGTTTGCTGGGGAAATAATTCTGTAAAAGAAAGGAGAAAAGTGTCAAAAATGTCCTTCAAAAATGCTGGCTAATGCCAGAATATTGAAGCAATGGGGGGAGGGGAAAAAAAAAAAAAAAAATCAACAGGAGCCACGGGTTTCTAGTTATCAAGTGAAGAATGAATACTTAACTTTAAAATAATGGACTGTTGACCATTTATCTCAACATATTGGTAAACAGCTACAGAAGATCCTGAGACATATGAGAATAAAAATATAGGACCAATTCACTCCTTCACATCTTTATGCTTCAAGCCTCCCATTTTCAGGCTGAAGTCTATTTTATCATTATGAAATTCTTAGCCACAGTGTTATTGCCATTTAGGCACTGTTCAGTAAAGCAGATCTCCAAATCATCACTGAAAGGATTTTTTTTGAAATGTAGTTTTTCATAATTCATTACTCTTACAAAGCACATCTTGCAAGCTTTAGTGGAAATACTTCTTCCAGGTTCACAGTCCATGACCAGCGAGTACAGCAACATGTTCTACCGCAGGTTGTGGCCCAGCCCACCACTGTAGAGAGACCTGTTCTTCAGAAGCTTATCACTGTTACTATTTAGGAAAATCATTTCCCTTCTTTCTCCTCCAAGTCTCTTGAAAGATGTTTTCATTACTGATTTTGAATCCTACAAGTGCTAGTAATTTTTTTTTATTTGATAATTTTTCATCCTGCTACCTCAAGTAGCACCAGCTATCAGATCATCATGAAAACTGAATGAGATTCACAGACTGCACAGAAGGACTGATAAAAGAAACTATGTGCATAAATAAAACATATGGAAAACAATATTTGTTATCTATCAAAAAAGATTAAGCAAATACTAAGCTTCAGTTTCATAAGGCTGGAGTTCACTATTTCTAGAGTAAAGAACTTAGAAGTTATTTAATGCATCGCTATTTAAAAAACAAAAAAAACCCCCACCAACCCCTGTCCCCAAAAAGCATTAATCATAGCACACCCAGGCTTCCATTATCTCTTTGAGCTCTTTTGGTTTAGAAAGAGAAGGTATGTCTTACCAGCTGACCGATCCGATCCAGGTTATCCAGGAAGTATTTCACTGATTCACCCTGTGGAAAAGGAAAGAGATGGGAACTAAGCTTGTTTCTAGGATAGCAAATCCAACTGTGTTTTCACTTTCCAACATGCACAGAGGTCTAACATAGCAGTATCACATGTGGAAGCTTGGACAACATCCTGATATGCTTCAGGAGCTGGAACAATAGCAGTACTGCATAGCTTAATCCATGTAAGCTGCTGATAATGAAGTGGAGCTGCCATAATACACTACTGACATGTAGGTAAGGTAGTATTTCTTCAAAAGCAATTCTCTGTTAGTTCTAGAAAAATCGAAGTTGAGTAGAGATCTGAATAAATGCTCAAAGCTATCCAGTAAATCGCCACAATGAAAAGGAAGTGTTATTAAAGTCAGTCCTTTGCTTTGGCTTAAAGAATTTTTTTTTTCCCCATTGTATGATGAATGCAGTTAACTGACACTGGGTGGGAGTAAGTGAAACATATTTATTAGAAGCCAGCGTATTTTGTTTAAAGTTCATAACAGTGAACAAAAGCATATCCTAGACTGGTTGGCATATCTTTAGAAAAGTGAAAGATTTAAGTCACCCACAATTTGTGATAATTTAAGCTAGGCTTGCTTGTCAAAAAAAAAAAGGAACATTCTGAAGGACTTTCTCTTTTACAGATAGTTTCCCTTTTAGGCTCAAGGGTTTTAATAATGGATTTGTTGATCTTGTACAAAACGCTTTAGCAGTTATATTGAGAAGAATATAGGCAATGTTTACAAAGAAAATTTATTCTTGGGTGAAAATGCGTAAGAGGTTTTGTGTTTTGTTTTGGGTTTTTTGTTTTTTTTTTTTTTTAAACAAGCGTGCTCATGTATCACACTCAAATCAACCGCCACTTTGCATTAGTGGATACAAGAAACCCTACACATACTTTTTAGAAGTAATAAAATTGTTTCCATATAGATGCAGACTTTACTTCTGCAGTGAAACCATCGTTGGCAGAAGCCCACTCTCCTTCAAAACACTTCCCTTTCGTGTCTTCAGATGAAGATGATCTGTTCAGTAAGAAAGCTTTCTTCATTGTTTAGGACATGTGTCTTGCAGTTGTAGCCATGTCATAAGAATGATAAAATGGAAAATCCTGCTGCCTTTTAATAATTTTAGGCAACAAAACACATTATATATATCACAGATCAGGGCCGTGTCAGTAACAACCAAACTGACAGTAGGTGCCCTCACCAAGTCACTAATTCAGAATGAGAACATTCTCAAAATATCATCTCAGATTCCAACAGCAATATAAATGCTTAAACCATACATTCTCTCTACACCATAGGCTTGAGACAGCAGAATAAAATTACTCCCCTCCCCTTACAACTGTAACAGATGCTACCACAACAGTTCATTTTGAAGAATCGGACTGCAGACCAGAGGATTCAGTGTACATACTTTCAGCATAAGGCATAGACAAAAAGGAGCTGTAACTTATTATCTCCTAACATTTTAAACTGGAACTTTTCATAAAGGAGACAGAACATGCATATTTGCAAAAAGCTACCATGTATCACAAAAGATTTACAGTGGATTACCAGCAGAAAAGATGACTTTTTGGGGGGGAAGTTTCAAAGAACAATTGCTCTAAGAGCTTCCTTACAATCATGAATTTTCATAAGGTGAAAGTAATTTCCTGTATTTTTTGGCACTCTGTTGGATCAGAAGAGATATCACAGACCGCATGAATAAGAGAAAAGGTCTTCCTGTACAGCATTAGTCATATTTAGGAAATGGGAGAGCCCTAAAAGAAAAAGTCACTGAAGCTATAAAGAAACCCCAAACCCTTATCTATTGTGCTTTGTCCTACACAATGCCTTTAGATGTGCAACAAGACCGCAAACAGGCCATCTCTGATACAACTTGTTTCTATTTTCTACCCAGTTGCTTTAAGAGTCCTTGCCTTGTCCATATACCCTCCCACACTGAGAGCAGGAAACAGCTGTACGCATGTAAACCGCTGGGACACACAAGCAAGTTTACCTGATTTACGGCTTGTGCCGCCCCTATTTCCTGCCCCACGCATCCATCAGTTTAACATTTTTCACATTTATAAGGAGGTAAGAAAATAATCTGATTAATGAGAAAAATACATGTTCATTTTTGCAGTTCATTCTCTAGTTTCTTATACAGCTCTTTGTAACATTGCAGTTAAGCCAAATAATTAATTCTGGGAAGTTTTAAGCAGTAATTGCAGAACACTTGGATAGCTGAGTAACCAAGTCAGGTTGCTGGAACAGGTGTGAACACCATATGCATGGTCTGACAGATCTGAAGATGTCTGAATATTCTCTTCCAGCACAGAATTCAAAAACATCCAGTACTTAAGTCAAAATATCTGTTTCCAGTCAAAACAACAAATCCCTGACAAGCTCCTCAGGGTTTGAAGTTAAGAAAAGCTCAAAACATTAAAGCACACAAACCTGAAGGGAGGGAGAGGAAAAAAAAAAACCAAAACAGAACAATACACAAAAAACCCCCACCCCAAACCCACCCCACACACTTGGAACCCCCTACTTTAAAGTTGATTCCTTGATTAAGTCCTGCGTTATGGCCTATGGAAGTGTGGATTCAATTGCTGCTCCAAAAACTTCTCAAGTAACCTTGCTTTACATCTTAAATCAGATCTTAGTCTGATTCATAGAAAAATTGGTTGCTTCTGGAAGCATGTGGGGTATTTCAGTTCATCGAGCAGGCAGCACAGAAAAACTGCAGACAGCACCAACTGACTTGATGAATAACTTGTCAGTTATTTAAATGAGGAAAATATGGAAACTCCAGGTGTTAGGACTATTTTGTATTAGTACTTTTAATCAGAACAATTGTATTAACTGAACATTCATTTAGCTTTTAATTTTTTCCTTGTCATCCAGGGGAAATAGATAGCAGTATCAATTAGATCTAGAAGTTAAGTTTATATAGCTTTGTATCAAACTGCACTTGAATGCAATTTTGAATTCCGTCAATAAATTATTATTTATGCAAAGCCATCTCATGCTTTGGGTATTATACACACAAACAAAAAATGTACTTTTGTGTGTGTATATATATATGTGTATGTATATAAAACACACACACAAAGAGTTTACGAATTGTTCATCAAGTTAGGTTTTTCATTCAAGGCAAATTAGTATCAAAATCAAAAAGTATCAGCTGCCTCTTTCATGTTGAACTTTTTTTTTCTCTTTAAGACACTGGCCATAAACAAGCTGTTTTGGCTTTTTCAGTGCAAAATCTTAGGGTTTCTCCGAAGTCATGTAGCCATTCAACTACATTCAAAAGCTGGCTTAGCACTTCAAATGCTCTCCTTTTCCAAATCTTAGCCAGTTATTTCTGGTTCACTGGCATGACGTCCTATAGAAGTGGCAGCTAATATTTGCAATTGATTCATCAGATACTAAAAATATCTTTATGCAGGTCGACATCTTCAATCTTACTATTTTAATAGTTCTAATGAAAAAAATTAAGTACTCTTTTGAGCATTGCAATCTATTTTGAACTATGTTTGCAAGCAGCAAAATAGAAATGGAAGCCATCAAAGCTATTTATACTAATTATACTATATTTAAATACCTAAAGATAATCACATCATGGTGTGTTCACTTAAAAACAAACAAAAAAGGTCCAGGTTAGATGTGTCAATCTTTTACAGGCTGGTGCGTCAAGAAAAACTCTGGCAGCTCACAACTTTCCCAGATCAACTACGTTCACAGAAGACTGTTGAGCGTCTGTCTTTTTAGATTTAAAAAGACTCAAATCTTCTTGTATTTCCCTGTTAGTACACTACTTCCTTTAAAAAAAATTCTAACAGTATTCATAAATAATATTCTTAAAATCTGAAAGACATTATTTCATTTCAACCAGCATTTTACTTGGATACGAAGCACCATTCTGTCACAGTCACAGCAGAGTGTCAGTGAAGCATGTCTGTACTGACATTTCTTATTTTTTTTTATGTTTAACCAATTGTCTATTAGTATATTTCACATTTCGAAAGCTGTATCAAGAAAGTCTGAGATGACCATCTATTTTGCTGTTGATACAAGTCAGCTAGCTGTTTTTTTTTTTTCCCTCTTCATAATAAATCAAGATGTCAAAACACTGTCTCCCATCCTTGCCCTGTGTTTTCCAGGACAGTGGCGAGGGGGGAAAGAATGACCTCTGAGTTATGAATTTTACATAATTCAGATACTCCTTTTTAGTACACAAGAGCACAGTATAGACCATAAGTCTTCCTTAACTTCTTGCTCACCACACAAGAGTTACCACAAACGCTCAGATGATTCATTCTCTCACTGCTAATCTCTTCTCCCTCTGCAATACATATCCTCTGAGTAACAGTTTTGCCAAGTGGGACCAAGTGAAGGAATAAGAGATGCTGTTCCCATTGTTCAGTAGGATGAGTCACTGCACATCTGGGAACTGGGGGAATCAAGAAACACAAACAGAAGGCCTAAAGTGAGCCCACAAGTTCCACAATGCAGCATCGCTATTGGATTTTTCTTTTTTTTTTTTTTTTTTTTTTAAAACTGCCCTATCTGCAGTATAAAGTCTAATGAAGCCAAAGAAAATAGTACAATTTGCTTAAAAACTGACTGGTGGAGGAGAAAGAAAAGGTAAAATGTAAAGTATACTCTTGCTTCCTGAAATAGTGCTCTAAAGATCTTCTTTTATATCCCGGATTATTTTGAACACAGCATTCTCAGGGGCAAAAGACATAAAATTAAGAAGAAATATTTATTCCATTTTATTCTACATATTTTGTACTATATTAATGTCATCTTAACATGAGCACCAAGAAAGTTACCATGAAAATAACTAATTGAATTTAACATCTCTGTCACTTCAGGCTAGTTCATAGCACATAGGAAATCTCCCTAAAGAAATATTATAACGCATCTGGCATCACTTCCTTTGCCATTGATAGCCTCATTGCAAAAAGGAAGCAGAAAACACTTGGGCAGAGTTCCCAAGCAGTATTCGTTTCATGAAAA